AAAAAAAAAAGAAAAAAGCAGTTTTAACGTTAATAAATCAAAGAAGTGCTTTCTAATATGAGAAATGCCTCCGTAATAAAAATGGTTCTGGTCATCTCAGTTGCGCTCTGTTGCACAGAGGTGATTTGCTACTCAAACAAACCTGGATCCATATGAAAGATCATGGGTTCAGTTCCTGGTCGACCTGTACTCTCATGGGTAGTCCACCCATGATCCTGACTGGCTGGGAAGGCTGGCAGGGTGGGCAGTGGCACAGTGTGAGCCCCTGTTGAGGGTGCTGGCTTTGCTCTTTTTCTCTCATAAAAGTAGTAAACTTTATAAATAAAAATGCCTCAACAGGGCCAGCTGGTGGTGTGGTGGTTAAGGTGGCTGGATATCATGTGTCATGGTTCAAGTCCTGGACCTGGCAGCTTGGAAAACACACTGGGCTCATGTGTGTGCATGCCCAAAATCCAAAGGAGTAAATGGAGAAGGGACTGTGGCGTGGTCATCCCCTGTGGGGGGTGAATTCTCACTTTCCCTTTTTCACTCTCTCTTTCTTCTTCTCCCTCTCCCTGTCTTCAGCAAGCACATGCGGCCTCTAGGAAACACTTAACAACAAAAAGCCTCAACAGTAACAAAGGACTTTAAGAGCCATCTAATGCTTGGGCTCCAATACAAGTGACTGTAGTGTCATTATCTATGGGCCTGGCATCAGCCTTTGGTTGGAATCCAGGGGAAATGCCAGATGTCTGTTGTCTCCATGAACATTCTAAAACGCAGGTAAACACAGGCCGGGGCAAAGTCAGTGTCACATCAGCTCAGGTTGTGGGGGCTAGGGCTTTGTGTCTTAGGCTTTACACGCCGGCTCAAATTTCATTTGCAATTTAAACATTCAAGCACCTGTCTCCAGGGAAGGGAATAAAAGATCTGTACAGCTACAAAGAAAAGCTTGCAAATATGCCAGATATGCTTGTTGCAAGAGAATGATACTGTGTGGGTGCCTTCACAGTCAGCCCGGTAACATCTGTGGACTCTTGGAATTACTCTGTCCTGTCTGGATAAGAGAAGTAGGCTTTTTGCAAATTGAGACTGACAGTTCAGTGATAAGCAGTCCTATCAGGTCTCTTTGTGTGTGTGTTGTTTTAAGGAACAGGAGCTCCTATTCCAAACGGCTTAAAAAGGGAGTTTATAAATGGCATACATAGCTAAGGAGTGCAGGGTATGAGGAGACAGCTGAATTTGGGGCTTTAAAGCACGAACTTCATCCTTAGGTTCATTTCGCATAGTGGCTAGACAGCTGCTAGCACCTGCACTCTTGAAAGTCACACTGTTTTCAACCAAAGCCTTGGGTTTAACGTTCTTTGAACTGGACCAGGTTAGTGCCCATTCCTAAACCAATAACTGGCAGGAAGGAGGAATGCATTGACTTTATTAACTGTCACAACTCAGCCCTTGGGAGTTGGCGATTGCGATAGTGTGAGTGTTTTTGTCCTTTCTTGTCAACTCAGGTGGAAACCAAACCTCCCCAATGCATCCATGTTGAGATGTGGGGCCAAGAAGGTGTTAGAACCTTCATGAATGGATTAATGCCACTATAAAAGACTCATGGGAATGGGCTGATCTCTTCCACTCTCCTGCCGTGAGGAACAGCCTTCTTCACTTTGGGAGGATGCAGCATTCAAAGACACCATCTTCAGAGCAGAGACTGGGCCTTAAGCAGATGCCGAGCCTGCCGATGTCTTGATCTTGGCCTTCCCAATCTCCAAGCCTATGAGAAGTAAATGTGGACCTGGCAGCTTGGAAAACACACTGGGCTCATGTGTGTGCATGCCCAAAATCCAAAGGAGTAAATGGAGAAGGGACTGTGGCGTGGTCATCCCCTGTGGGGGGTGAATTCTCACTTTCCCTTTTTCACTCTCTCTTTCTTCTTCTCCCTCTCCCTGTCTTCAGCAAGCACATGCGGCCTCTAGGAAACACTTAACAACAAAAAGCCTCAACAGTAACAAAGGACTTTAAGAGCCATCTAATGCTTGGGCTCCAATACAAGTGACTGTAGTGTCATTATCTATGGGCCTGGCATCAGCCTTTGGTTGGAATCCAGGGGAAATGCCAGATGTCTGTTGTCTCCATGAACATTCTAAAACGCAGGTAAACACAGGCCGGGGCAAAGTCAGTGTCACATCAGCTCAGGTTGTGGGGGCTAGGGCTTTGTGTCTTAGGCTTTACACGCCGGCTCAAATTTCATTTGCAATTTAAACATTCAAGCACCTGTCTCCAGGGAAGGGAATAAAAGATCTGTACAGCTACAAAGAAAAGCTTGCAAATATGCCAGATATGCTTGTTGCAAGAGAATGATACTGTGTGGGTGCCTTCACAGTCAGCCCGGTAACATCTGTGGACTCTTGGAATTACTCTGTCCTGTCTGGATAAGAGAAGTAGGCTTTTTGCAAATTGAGACTGACAGTTCAGTGATAAGCAGTCCTATCAGGTCTCTTTGTGTGTGTGTTGTTTTAAGGAACAGGAGCTCCTATTCCAAACGGCTTAAAAAGGGAGTTTATAAATGGCATACATAGCTAAGGAGTGCAGGGTATGAGGAGACAGCTGAATTTGGGGCTTTAAAGCACGAACTTCATCCTTAGGTTCATTTCGCATAGTGGCTAGACAGCTGCTAGCACCTGCACTCTTGAAAGTCACACTGTTTTCAACCAAAGCCTTGGGTTTAACGTTCTTTGAACTGGACCAGGTTAGTGCCCATTCCTAAACCAATAACTGGCAGGAAGGAGGAATGCATTGACTTTATTAACTGTCACAACTCAGCCCTTGGGAGTTGGCGATTGCGATAGTGTGAGTGTTTTTGTCCTTTCTTGTCAACTCAGGTGGAAACCAAACCTCCCCAATGCATCCATGTTGAGATGTGGGGCCAAGAAGGTGTTAGAACCTTCATGAATGGATTAATGCCACTATAAAAGACTCATGGGAATGGGCTGATCTCTTCCACTCTCCTGCCGTGAGGAACAGCCTTCTTCACTTTGGGAGGATGCAGCATTCAAAGACACCATCTTCAGAGCAGAGACTGGGCCTTAAGCAGATGCCGAGCCTGCCGATGTCTTGATCTTGGCCTTCCCAATCTCCAAGCCTATGAGAAGTAAATGTGTGTGCTTTGTAATTACCCAGTCTTAGGTGATCTGTTACAGCAGCACGAGACAGACCCAGGCAGCAGTCGTCAGTACTGCGTAAACCAGTGCTTGTCAGACTATCTGTGGGAAAGGACTGTTGTCGGGTCTTAATTTTCAAGTGCAGACTGATTGTCTGACTGTGCTCAACAAGACGAGTCTCCTGGCCATGCTTGCAGGGGTTGTGGCAGAGAACTGTACAAAGGTTTCTAAATGTTCACCTGAATCTTGTCTTGAGTTTGTAACAAGCATGGTGGACTCATACCAGACTCCATTTTAAGTACCTCTCTAAACCACATGGACTAGAACCGTGCTCAACCATGTGGGAGTCCAGCGCCTTAACCATCATGCCCACCACCGTTTCTAAAGATGAAAGAATCTTCCGTCGTTTCTGCACAGCAGCCCTTCTTTTCCTTGCCAGGTTTGGGTTAGCGAGGCAGTCTCAGCTTTCTCAGCCAGCTCTTTGTTAGTGAGGGGGCCGTTTATCCAAGGAGACTTACCAGGCCAAGGCTACACAGACCACCATACAAAGAAAGCCTAAAAGGATGGTGGGAGAGAGGTATTATTGCACTGCGATTGTTTTTTCTAGACACCACTCAGTGCAAGGCAGACATAACATGCCTTCTTAGCAGGATGCTGCTGGCCACTGAACTAGGCACGTTAAACTGTGCCCAGGCAGACCACTTGATTGAGAAGCAAGATTCGGAAATGTTGGCCCTGCATCACTGTAAGACCATCTAAGATCTAAACTTCCAGCTGGACCATCACACCAGGCCTCTCCAGTCAGAGGCTGATTGGCATGCTCAGCAGACGACTCACCTTGCTGGGAGTGAACTTGGTAGCATGTTCTGAACCTGCCAAAGAGGGTAGAGAAACAACTGTGGGCTGGACTAGTGGACCTTGTGAGAAGGGCAGCCTAGAAGCCTAAATTATAGCCATCTGGCTGGGTGTTTGTTGTGGTTACAGTGAGGCTCCATGCATGCAGTTGTTCTAGTGCAGACACAACTATTTTTGCTGTAACAGTGCCTAACTTTAGCAGACAAATATAAAACTTGTTCAAGCAGAACAATACACTTTCTTCCTCTCTCAAGTGTATCCTAGCTTGTGTATATGAAATACTAAGAATTGAGTGTTCTTACGATGAATCATAAGCATGGTGTAAAAACCTCTACCCAAGTGTAGTCTTTGGGTGAGTTTAAAAACTGTTCAGTGGAGACTGGGCATGTTAAGAAAGGGGGCGTTTGCCTCCCCATTCCTCGCCCTTCTTCCTCCTGTAGATCGTTGTGTTCCTGGCGACCTGTACTGTCGTACTGAAGGCAGACCCTCTCTCTAGAGGGAAGAAAAACTTGCGCATGGCAAGCCAGAGTGTCCGAATGAAAGAGCTGTCATTTGGGAGAAGAGAGGAGGTTATTTTGGAGGAATGCAGGCCTTTGAAAGATGTGGCTAGGATGGCTCATAAAGAAACAGTCTGCAGGGACCAGCAGTTAGCGTAATGGCTTTGTCGCTGGACTCCCATGTAGTCTACCGGACTACATGGTTCGAGTACCGGACCCGGCAGCCTAAACTCACGCCGGGCGCGTGTGCGTGCATGCCCCAAGATTCCGAGATGAGAATGGAGGAGAAGGGATTATGACATGGCCATCCCCCCCTAGGGGGATTTCTTGCTTTCTATCTCTCTGTTTCTCTCTGTCTGTCTGGTGAGCACACATGCCCTATAGCAAAAACCTCTCCAAAAAAAAAAAAAAAACAGTCTGCAGCTGCCTCCTGGGTTTGAACAGCCCCGGTGGGTGGGGGAGCCCTAAGACAAGCAGGAGGCCCATTCTCACGAGCCCTGTGTCCCTTCAGAATGCCTGTCTGGGGCGGTGGAAACAAGTGCGGGGCCTGCGGCCGGACCGTGTACCACGCAGAAGAGGTGCAGTGCGACGGGAGGAGCTTCCACCGCTGCTGCTTCCTGTGCAGTAAGTATTGCCCTGTGCCCACTGGGGCAACATTACGTGTAAAAAGCTTCAATGATCTATTTAAGGAAAAGCATGTGTTTTATAAAAACCAAGTTTATTTTAGACCCGTGAGTGGCGGTTACCTGTCTATCCTGGAAGACTTCGTTGTGTTGAGCTGAGCACCAAGAGCGGGCGGGAGGTCCAAGACAGACACGTAGCCTTCCTGCGTGTCCCCACAGCTCATGGCAGTGTGGGTGTCCCCTGGCCTCTGCTTTGCTACCGTGTCTGTCATGCCCGCCTCACTCAGTGCTCAGTGCTGTTTATGCAGTCTGGCATCGTGCACAGTTTTTGGCACACGGGAAGGGCCTGGCCCCAATTTCTGAGTCAATGAATGTTTTCTTTTTTTTTTTTTATTTTTTTTATTTATTCATTCATTTATTTTTTAGTTTGACCAGAGAGAGACAGAGGGTGAGAGTGAGAGAGAGAGAGAGGAAGTGAGAAAGCAAACCACCAGATTCAGGACTTGACCCTGGGTCAGCCATGTGGGAGTGTCCAGCTCCTTAACCACCACACCACCTGCTGGTCCCCATTGAATGTTTTCTGATCTACCCCAGCTTCCTCTTTCTGGCTGGGCTCCTTTTTGAAACCTTCTTGCATATTTCTTACCATGCTGATAATTGAAAATTCAAATTTGTCTAGAAGCTTAAATTCTGTCATCTCTGACAATACTCAGAATTATTTTTGGTTACTGATATTCTAACTTTGAGGGAAAGAAACCTAGGATATGAAAATCCCAGGGAGGCAAATTGGGAATTTCTGTTGTTTATAGATGGGAAATTATCACAGTGCCTGGAATAGACAGGAAGTAGGACATGAAACATCACATGCCGGGGCTGGCAGGTGGCGTGGTGGTTAAGGGCGCTGGACTCCCACATGGCCATGCATGGTTCAAGTCCAGAACCTCGTGGCTTGCTTTCTCATTTTCTATCATTTGCTCACACTCTCCCCTCTCCCCCCGGTCAAAAAAGTATACATAAAGAAATAAATAAAGTTAAATAAAATAATTATTCTTTAAAAACCACATGTCTCTATGCTCAAACGATAGTACCACGTAATGAAAAAAAACAGAATTAGAGAAGCCTTACCCGCTGATCCCCTCTAATGACAGCTAAGTCTTCTGTTTTAAACAGAAGGGTAACAGCTTAAGGAAACATTTTCATTAATCATTGTGTGATTGAAATGACAGAATTTTCTTTCATGAAAAGATTTATGTCAGAGGAATTTATCCATACATGCATATATTCGCCTTATCTATAGTACCGTGCCATGGAAATCACTGTAAGAAACCATTTGTTAAAAATAAATTTAGTTACGTTAAGAAATAATCCATAGAGGGCCAGCAGATGGCATGGAGGTTAAGGTGTATTCCCACGTGGCTGACTGTGGTTTGAGTTCTCGACCTAGCAACCTGAAAATCACCCCAGGTGTGCATGCGTGCATGTGTGCCCCAAATCCCAAGAGGAGAATGGAGAAGGGATTGCAGCATAGCCATCCCGCCTGGGGTGCGATTTCTCACTTTCCCCCTCTCTGCATGCACCATATGGCAAAAACCTTTAAAAAATAAAAAAAAAAAAGAATCCTTAGAAAAAACTATTCTCTCAAATTTGAATTGTCCTTTTCCTTCTAGAAGCCAGATCATTCTGGGTCATATCTGGATCTATCAAAGTGTAACTGCTTGCAGACAATTGTAAACAAACAACAGCAAGTTGCTGTTACAAGAAATAAAACTTCTGCTCATACATGTCTGCTCTGTAGGCCTCCATAATAGCCACTGTTTCTCAGATTTGGAAGGCCGTCACCACTAAACCATCAAAGCCACTTCTCAGAAGATTTGGTTTAACCATTCTTCTCTTAGAAGCTACTGACCTTATTTTATTTCTTTTCTTAAAGGAATCTTTTTTTTTTTTAAATCAATTTTATAACCAAGAAAGTAAGGGGCTAAAAAAGAACATGCAGGTACTTTAGAAATTGTTATTTCATCAAAGTTAGGCCCTGATGCCTACACTACCATAAAGTTCGTGTGGACTAAATGGAAAGTTCTTTACTGGGCATTTTTACTGCTGCTTCCTAACCTCTGTCTCTGCTGACTAGCACCTTGTAAGGAAATCACTCAGAGTAGTCTGAAACCTATGAGCATTTTTACACGAGAACAGAGAAGGATGAGGTCTGGGGAGTGGAGGGGGGGTTTTACAGCAAAATTCATATACCTAACTTGCTTTGGTTAACAGATTCCTGTTCTTCAAACATTTCGTATTTATTTGCATTTATTCTGTTAAAGGTATCTGCCCTTCGTTGGGTACAGGCTATTATATCCTTAAGCTAACAGATTTCTGCATTTGAGCTTCAACAGACTCTAGAGTAGGTGCCGTTTTAGGAGACTAACAGAAACAATGTGTTTTAAACCAGTTATCTGGTTGTCGCTCCCCCCCATTTCTGTCCTTTGTTCTCCTTTTCTCCTTCCTTTTGTTTCTGCCTCTTTTATGGGGGGGAGGGGACCCTCTTTTCTACTAGACAGATCTTTTATTTCCAGCTGCCCAACTGTGCTACCAGTGAGCTCCTCTACAATTCACTATTTTTCTCCGGCTTAATTGAAGTTTTAGAAAGTGAAATAATGTCTGGATAAAACATGATGACATTTGGCAGTTTTATGAAGTGGGATATGTGGAGATGTCTTGTGGCAAGAAATCCATCAAGAAAGAATGTGTTCTCCTTTGGGACAGAAGGGAAAGCAAATGCAGACTTGAAACCACTTGATGGTTTTCAGACATACTTATCACCACTGGAGAAACCAGTGGGGAGATGAAAGAATAATACTTTTTCCCATCTTAGACCAGTGATGAAAACGAATTCTGGATTTAAAACTATTTTTATTCAGGGGCGGGTGGGGGTGCATTTTGGGGAGTCGAGTGCTGCAGAGGCACTCCAAGACTGCCGTTCTTTGTTAGGTTGCATTTAACACTAAAACTTGGTATGAAGAAGATGAAAAGGTTGAGGATTAGGCGTAAGGCATTGCTAATTTTATTCCTTTTGCTCATGGAAGAATAGCTACTTCTGAAACACCACACTTCTTCCTTCCAGAGAGGCAGATCAGATTGAAAAGTCTGAGGCTTCTGGTTGTTAAAATTCTGATACAACAATTCTGAAGCAACTATCCCCTCCATGGAGGAAGACAATCCTCAAATGTAGCTGACCAGGCTGGATGCCGTCTCAGGGCTGAGCCTGTGCCTTTGCCATTTGTAGACCATGTGTGTCTCCATTGTTCTCAGGAAACAGGCATCTTTGGAACACGTTTAAAGCCTTAATTTCTCCCCCCTCAGTGGTGTGCAGGAAAAATTTAGACAGCACAACCGTGGCCATCCATGATGAAGAGATCTACTGCAAATCCTGCTATGGAAAGAAGTATGGGCCGAAAGGCTACGGGTATGGCCAGGGTGCTGGCACACTCAACATGGACCGTGGCGAGAGGCTGGGCATCAAGCCAGAGAGGTAAAGTGGAAGAATGTTTGTCACCTTCAGAAATGAGTTACAACAGTTAACGTTGCTTGGTGAATGGGAACCTGAGGGTTCCCAGATTCTTAGTTTAAATTAAGCAAATAAAATGTGACTCAGATTTTCTCATGTAAACACGTGGCTATTCTTTAAAATATTGACAGTTAAAATTCAACAGAGTTCTTATTAATCATTCCAGTGATTTCTAGTCCTGGTTTTATAGCATTGAAAGGTATATTGGGGACTTAGGATGTTCTTAAAAACAAGTGATTGGGGCCGACAGGTGGCGTGGTGGTTAAGGGCACTGGACTCCCAAATGGCTGACCACGGTTTGAGTCCTGGACCTAGCGACTCGCTTTCTCACTTTCCCTCTCTCTCACCCCTCACACATGCATACTCACTCTCTTGCTCTGTCTCTCTATGGTCAAATTAAAATAAGTAAATAAATAAATGAAGTTAAATAAAAAATAATTATTAAAAAAAAAGCAAGTGATTGGGGCCAGCCACACGGGTGCAGTGGAAGTGAACTGCCCCATGATGTCAGATCCAGGTGAGAGATCGGGGTTTAATTCCCACGTTGACTGTCCGCGCCAGGTGCATGGGCCTGCTTGTGATCCTGACTGACTGAGAAGACTGACAAGAGACTCTGTTGAGGGTGCCTTTCTTCCCCACCCCCCCTCTCTCTCATAAAAAGAAAGAAAAACTTCATTAAAAAATTTTTTTTTTTGTAGATGACTTTTTAAGCTTGTTTAAACCTTTAAAAAATATTTTAAAAATAAATTTCAACTATTACATTCTGTGGATTCTTCCAAAGTTAACTGCAGCATTATTGTTTTATTCTTTACTTTTTTTTTTGCTAGAGAAGTTTTTGCTATAAGGCATGTGCACTCGCTGGAGACACAGAGACAGAAAACAAGAAATCACCCCCCACCAGGCCCCGGGGGGATGGCCGCGTGGCAATTCCTTCTTCTTCAGTCTCCTCTTGTTCGAGCGTCCAGTGTGAGTTTTAAGCCGCAGGGTCGAGGACTCAAACTGCTGTTGACTACGTGGGAGTCCAGTGACATAAACCATTAAGCCATCTGGTCCCTATTCTTTACATTTTTAAAAAATTTACATTTAATCACTGTACATCTTTACATTGTACAAAATGCTGGGAAAAGAAAATGATTTAAATTTATTCCATTTCACAGCATTTTAGAAATGTCAGAAAACCAGTGATAGAGAAATATGGTCTCTGCCTAAGGAAAGGTGTTTCTCATGCAGTTGGGCAGTCGGTGACAATTCCTGCCATTCCTTCTACATAGAATCTTTCGTCATCTTGCTCTCAGGGCCAGCCTGTGGCATGGTAGTAAAGTGAAATGGATCCCACATAGCCAACCACTTGGTCAGTGACCTAGTGGCTTGGAAAACATGCTAGATGCATGTGTGTGTGCACAATGTCAAAGTAGGGAGAAATAGAGAAGGGACTACAGTTGGGACCATCCCCAAGGGTGTATTTTCTCTGTCTCCGACAAGCACATATACCCCATGGCAAATAGTTCCTTTTGTATTTCATCTTCAGCCTACCTTTTTTGGAACTTTTTTCATTCAATTTTTAATCCATTAATTCTCCATTTTAACTCAACATTTTTCATATCTAAAGACGCCAAAAGTGGTGTACTGCTCTGATAAAATAACCCTTCTTTAGATGAGCCCATGAATCCTGCCAGACCCCATGTGACCTTAACATGTTAACCCGTGTAATGCTCACAACACTCTTACAAGGTAGTGTTTCCTGTCTTATTCATGAACAAATCAAGATAGTAACTTGCCTGAAGTCACACTGTTAATTGTAGACCATGGAACTTAATCTTACTCCAAAGTTTATGAGCTGAAACACTATGTATTCTGGCTTAGCTAAAATAACTATCATATTTCAAATGCCTGGTGTCTGCTGAGCATTTATCGTTATCCTGTGTAAGCCTCACAGTAACTCTCAAGTGTAGATATTTTGTCCCTGTTTTACAGAGGGCACTAAGGGTGAGGTCACACAGAAAATCGAGGGAGTAGGGATTGGAGCCTATGTTTTTCTGGTTCTGAAACTTGTGCTACATTCAGGGTCACCTCTGTCTCCTGGGCTCTTTCCACACTCCAAAGTTGTGAAAGAACAAACTTACTACTGCATGTTGTTATTCATAGGAGCCCAGGTTACCTTTGTTTTCTTAAACATTGATTGTACTTGCTCTGCTCATTCCAATTGATAAAATCCATTCTTGTTTTCAAAAATTATACTTCAGGGCCAGCAGGTGGCGTGTTGGTTAAAGGCATTAGATTCCCATATGGCTGACCACGGTTTGAGTCCTGGACCTGGTGGCTTGCTTTCTCACTTTCCCTTTCTGTCTGTCTCTCTCTCTCTCTCTCTGTCTCTCTCTCTCTCCATCTGGTCAAAATAAATAATAATAACAAATGAATAAAATAAATAAATCTTTTTAAAAATTTCAAACTTTTTGAAAACATGTATTTATATCAATCTTTCCTCAACCAAAACCAAATTCATCCATGACCCCAAAAGTAAGACAATGATTATGGCTAGTCTTAAAGTTATAAAGACTAGTGGACCCCACTCTTTATCTACTCCCACTTCTCTACCTTCTCCAATAATCTACAAGCCTTCTGTGCTGCCCTGTCTCCATCTGTGACCTTGCAAGTTGGTTTCTTAGGCTGGCCATGCAATTCATCCTTCAAGATCAGGAAGTATAGGGGCTTCCTTCCCAAGAAACCTCTTAATTATCCTGAACACCTGTGGTCTGGACTGCCCTTGTGGCACATGGTAGTTATGACAGCCATGGACATAAACAACTTCATAACCACATCCTAGAGAGGCAACAGTGAGTGGACAAGAACATTTTCATTGAGGCAGACTTGCATTTTTCAGTTCAGGCTCATTTTGGCAAGTTCAGCTTCTGTGCCCCCATTTCTTCACCTGTTTGTACAACCCCACAAAGTTGTTTTTCTTTTTTTGGAGAGGTTTTTGCTCTAGGGCGTGTGTGCTCACCAGAGAGAGACAGAGACAGAAAACAAGAAATCACTCCCAGGGGGGATGGCCACGCCACAATCCCTTCTCCTCCATTCTCTGGGGATCTTGGGCACGCACGCACACACACATGCCCAGCATGAGTTTAAGCCACTGGGCCTGGGACTCGAACCGCAGTCGACTACATGGGAGACCAGCAACATAGCCATTACGCCAACTGCTGGTCCCCCCTACAAAGTTGTTAAAAGGTAGATGGGAAGTGACCAATGTGAAGTTCTTACTAATGTAATGATTGGTGGGTTTGGAAATTTTTCTTGAGACTCTCCTAATTTCAAGTGTTAGATATCATTAACAAACTTTTAAAGATCTCTTTAAAAAGTAATTAAATTGGGCACATGTGTGCCTGTGATCCGAGGTTGACAACCTGGGTGGGGGATGGCAACATGAAGACCCTAGTGGAGGTGCCTATCTCTGTTTCAAGGAAGAAATAAAATGAAAGGGCTTTTAAATCTTTTCAAAGCCCAAGACGTATTTGCATGCAGTAAGTACACCTACTTCCTGACTGGAAAGGATTCCTACTAAGAGAAGAAATACAGTTGTTCAGAGACGTGTGAATAGTGATAAGAACATCAGTCTATCTACAGAAAAAGATAAACAGGTCATACAGTAAAATGTCGAAACTGTTTCCCTACCAAGAAAGTAGTTTGTCCACACTTTCTCCTACTCAAGATGTATTAGTAAAACAAACTTTCTTGGTTATAGACTACTTCACTGACCTATTTGCAGAAATTTTTAACACTGATTTTTTAATCCCCCATGAAGTAAAAGGCTGTTTAAGTAATATGAATCTGGGTCAAATATATGTGCTGTTGGGAACCAGCAGTTAGCGTAATGGCTATGTCGCTGGACTCCCACGTGGTCAACCGCGGTTCTCGTCCCGGATCTGGTGGCTTAAAACTCACGCCGGGCGCGTGTACGTGCGTGCCCAAGATCCCGAGAGGAGAATGGAGGAGAAGGGATTGCGGCATGACCATCCCCCCTGGGGGGGTGATTTCTTGCTGTCTCTATGTCTCTCTCTGGCGAGCGCACGCGCCCTATAGTGAAAACCTCTCAAAAAAAAAAAAAATGTGCTGTGCTGGGTTTTTATTAAGCATAGCATAGCTGCCTGGTGGAGAGGCCAGCACTGGGAACTAAGTGAGTCCTACTCAGACTCAGAGGGACAAGTATGTAAGTTTGAGGCCTTGTCTGTAACAGTGAGCCCGTGAAAAGATTAATAAGCTTGGATGCAACTACGATGATGTTTCCTTCCTACTGTATTCGTCCACAAAGATCTCCAGCCTTGAGACAATATAGCAGTTAAATCGAAGGTTTCATCTAAGGGCCCTTTGGGAAAATCTTGCCTAATTTCTTTTTTTTCCTTTCTACAAGTGCTCAACCCCACAGGCCTACGACAAATCCAAACACTTCTAAGTTTGCACAGAAGTTCGGGGGTGCTGAGAAATGTTCCAGATGTGGAGATTCCGTGTATGCTGCCGAAAAGGTCATTGGTGCTGGAAAGGTGAAGTGCTTTTTTTGAATGAGTAACAGCGAATGATTCCTCTCTGCTCCCATTCTTCCCTTAACGCTTCCACATTCTAGTTACTATGTCTTATAAATATATGTCTTGGATTATACCCTTTTAAAAAACAACCTTCCATCAGAATCATTCATCTTTTCCAGTGGTTCTCTTATTTAACAAATCACTGTTTAAAAGAAACCTGTTTCCATAGGGGGCACTGCTTAAGGTTGTTAATAGGAAAAGCCAAGCTGTTAAAAACCTAGAATCTACAGGTTGTTCATAGTAGTTAAAAACAAAACAAAACAAAACAGGGACCAGCAGTTAGCGTAATGGCTATGTCGCTGGACTCCCACGTAGTTGACCGCAGTTTACGTCCCGGACCCGGTGGCTTAAAACTCACGCCAGGCACGTGTGCATGCATGCCCAAGATCCCGAGAGGAGAATGGAGGAGAAGGTATTGCGGCGTGGCCATCCCCCCCTGGGGGATGATTTCTCGCTTTCTGTCTCTCTGTCTTTCTCTGTCTGGCGAGCACATGCGCCCTATAGCAAAAACCTCTTCAAAAACAAAACAAAACAAAACAAAACAGTTATCAGAGTGAGGTTGCCTAATACTAATAGGGCATGCGGGTCCTCTTTCTTTGAGCTGCTAGAAATGAGGCAGTTCACTTGAAAGGAGCAGACTGGGCTTGTGACAGATCTGAGACTGCTCTCAGGGAAAAGCCCCTTCCATGCTGAAGTCCCCAGCCCATGTGTTCTGAGAATGAACTTTGAACTCAGCCCTTCTGTAGGTGGCAAGAATATAGATACTGAAGAGGTCAGTTTCAGCCTACAGGTGAGAGTTGAACCATAGAAGTGACAATCACTTGGTTGATATTCTTGCCATACATCTAAATTGTACTACATAAAAACGGCCTCTCAGACATACTGACACATTTGTCTTTTCTAGCCCTGGCACAAAAATTGTTTCCGATGTGCCAAGTGTGGGAAGAGCCTTGAATCAACAACTCTGACTGAGAAAGAAGGTGAAATCTATTGTAAAGGTAAAATTAATTGCAGTTACTGCTACCCATATAAATATCCTGCTGACTACTGGCTAATGAAGTGTCACCAGCGTTAAAAAAAAAAAAAAAGGTATTTTGAAGGAGATAGTCACTGGTTATGTGAAAACAAAATACACTTGCAGATGGCAGAAGCACAGACAACCTTAATTTCCTGACCATTTAAAAACCACCCCACTGATAAACAATACCATCACCAATCTTTCAACTGCATGTTTTAAACAAAGCAGATAAGTAAATGAAGGTAAAAGACATATATAACTCACCTGTCCTGACTTTCATGCTTGCAACTCAAGAGGGACCAAACCAAGAGCTAAATACTATGGAATCGGAGTGCTTGGACTCACCATCACAGCCTTAAGTTATTTACTGCATGGCACATATTACATCTTAAGTCAACTGAACTTTAGTAGAGCCAACAGTTTGGTTTTTAATTTGTGGGGGTTTGTTACCACATGGGTCTTACGCAGTGCTGGCAAAGCTCGAAGGACTAGCTGTAACTCTCCATTTTCTTTTGTAGGATGCTATGCAAAGAACTTTGGACCCAAAGGATTTGGCTATGGCCAAGGAGCAGGAGCCCTTGTTCATGCTCAGTAAAGGCAGTAAACCCTGAACTAAGCATCACATTGAGCGAGATCCTCTTCATAACCGAAACACAGATAATCTTGTAACACTAAACTACTGTGAAATTCTACCAGCGTTAAGTACCGCAGTACTGTATATTACCCTGTACTTGGATAGGCTGGATAACCCGTAGGAAGAAAGCACTGTATCCTTTTGCTTTTATTCACTAGCATTGTCAAGAAACGTTTTTCATTTTAAATAAAACTTTAGCTTGATTTGGCCGTTCACTGTCTTTCAGTTAATCTTTTAGAGAATGTGCTAAGGTTCTATGATTTCAGTTAGTGGAAAATCATTTGGGCCCCTATCTGCATTCGACTTGTTAAAGAGAACCAACTCCACTTATGCAGTTGACTCCAGATTAATCGCAGCACCAGTGTTGAACTGGCTCTCTTTTAAGCTGGCAAGTATGCCTCCAGAGGGTGGGGTTACTGTACTAGGCAAAGGCAGCACCATCTCAGCCCCTCGGACCTGGCGTTCAGCAATGCAGAATCCCCATCCTTGCTGTCCCACCATGTCGCCTGGTGGCTACTTCTTTGAAGCAGTTTCCCAAAGCAGGGTTGATAGACAACCTGCATTAGAATCACCTGGGAGTACTCAATGGCTGAATCCTAGGCCTCACTGCAGCTCTACCGAGCACAATCTGTGGGACTGGGTGTGCCTTAGGAGCCCTTTTGACAAGTTCTCAGAAAAGCACAATAAACCAGCCTTGGTACCTTGGAAAAAGCCCTTCTTTTGAACTATGTAGACCTAAAAATCTACATGGGATCAGCAGTTGGCATAATGGCTACGTCCTTTGACTCCCATGTAGTCGACCGTGGTTCGAGTCCTGGACCCAGTGGCTTAAGCTCACGCCAGGCGTGTGTACGTGTGTGCCCAAGATCCCGAGAGAAGAATGGAGGGGAAAAGGGCTGCAGCGTGGCCATCCCCCTGGGTGGGGGGGTGACTTCTTGTGTTCTGTCTGTCTCTTTCGGGTGAGCGTAAGCGCCCTGTAGTAAAAACCTCTCCCCCCCCCAAAAAAAATCTACAGACTAGAATCTGAGGCTTAGAGTGATTTTTTAAGTTCTTTAATCTGATAGATGCTGATTTACTTAATCCTGGATGGGTACTTTTTTCACATTTTCAATGCAACATAAGGAGCAAAGGTTACACTGAGCACATTCAGCTGGCTCAGAAAGGAGTATTAGACTATATAAGAGATGTTTTCATTATTCTCTTATATCTTTCAGTTCTTCATAGGAAACTCAACCCATCCTCACCTCCCACCCTCCCAGAGATAGAGTGAAATCTGTCTTCACAGTAGTAACCCCCTTATCCAGGGAAACACATCTCAGGACTCCTCAGTGGCTGTCTGAAACCACGAATAGTACTGAATCCTATATATACTATGTTTTTCCCTGTACATGCCTATAATATCCTGTTTATAAATTAGGCACAGTAAGAGATTAACAACAACTAATAAAATAGAACAATTATACTAAAAGTTACGTGAATGTAGTCTCTCAAAATTTAATTATACTGTACTCACCTGTTTTTGGACCGTGGTTGACTGTGTTTAACAAACTGCAGAAAGTGAAACCACAGAAGGGTGGATTGTTGTCATGTGGAGTAGTAAAACTGAGCCAGCCTGATGTGTGAATACATCTTACTGAAACATACTGTTTTGAAAAAGCTGAAGAGGGCATGGTACGACACAGAACCAAAAAGCACTAACTCAAAGCAGGAAGTTAAGAGTGTACTGGGTTATTACATCCCAGCTTTCAGTAACTTCAGGTGTTTCGTAACACATGCCAGTTCCACTATGGGAAGGGAGGGCCTCTTTTTTTTCTTTTTCCCTTTAAAGAATTATTTAATTTTACTTATTTTTAAATTTCCTCATGTGACAGAGAAGGAAAACAAGAAAGCAAGCCACCAGGTCCAAGACGCAAACCTCTGTCTTCCATGCTGAGTTCACCACCTGCTGGCCCTGGAGGACCTTTTTTTATTTTTTTAAAAAGAGGCTTTTGCTATAGGGTGCGTGCACTCGCCATAGAGAGAGACAGACAGAGACAGAGAGCGAGAAATCACCCCCCATCAGGAATGGACATGCCACAGTCCCTTCTCTTCCATTCTCTTCTCAGGATCCTGGGCACGCACAAACACGCGCCTGGCGTGAGTTTAAGCCACCGGATCCGGGACTTGAACCTTAGTTGAACCACAGGGAGTCCAGTGACATAGCCATTATGCTAACTGCTGGTCCCCCTGGAGGATCTTTTAATTAAGCATTAAGCGGGCTGGGGAGTAGTTCACTGGGAATAAAAGGCTGAAATGAATTGTAGTAATTGTGGAATAATTTTTATTTTATGTGTGATAGTTTTGGAATAGGTCTATAAATTCTTTGACATTCTCATCACATGATAGTTCATTTCCCTATCTTTGCAACCTTAAAGGTGCATTTTTAACTAAGAGAATATGATGGACAAGTCCAGGTTAGCAAAGACAGTAAGAGCTATTGGACTCATTTTTCTGAGGATGCTTACACTTGGAGTCCAGCCATGTCTGAGAAAACCCTGACTACACAACCATCTGCCATGCGAGCGAGCGAGCCAGCCTTCACATTATTCCAGTCCCATCATTGAACCATCCCAGCTGATACCAAGTAGTGCAAGATGAGCTATTCTTGTTGAACCCTGACCAAACCGCAAATCAAGGAGCAAAAATGTTTTAAACCACTAAGTTTAGGGGTGCGTTTTGGGGCAGCAATAGATAACTAGAATGCTAACTATAATAAACTCCTCCATGCACATATTTCTCACACCCGCCATGTTTCCTAAACTCTTGTTAGTCGGTGAATAATACTCTAAATGAAATTGCCAGGTCCCTGGGAATTTGAAATTTCTGTCTAGTAAAATGAAACAATTAAGATAGATATTCATGTTAATTAAAACCATTCTTGATTAAAATGGAGAGCCATGGCAAAAATAGCTCCAAAACTATGAAATTAATTTGTAGTGGCCCTGGAAGCAAAGAAGTGAAATCTGGCTTTGGGCCAGGCTCTCCTGAGAGGATGTTTGGTCATTTGGATATAAATCTGTAGGGTAGCCCCTGAGTAATATTAAAGTGCTACATGTTTTAACTTCAGAAACTATCCATTTGACATACTTTTAGCCTCTTATATGGGCTTGGAATATTTTTGGAGGACTACTGGCAACTCTAGTTTCAAAAAAGCTCTCGCTCACTTAAGTTTAGGGATGTATCTATAGATCTAGATATGCAAATACCTAGAGACATAGTATCTGTACATTAATGTCTAATACATCTAGACATACAAATATTGCTAGATCCACATATATCTAGATAAATACATTAGGTCGTAGGGAAACTCACAATGTATTTTTCTGTTTCCTGTGCAGAAATGCTTCATGATTTTCCCGGCAACCCTATAAATACAGATGCAGATCTCGATCCTGTAGGTTAACAGACCACACTAGTAGTTGAAGTGTTTTAACTTGAAAAGAGTCTTATACTGAATTTGTCCATGAAACCAGTATCTTCAGAAATATTAGTTTGAGCCTGTGGTTCTCAAACTGCTTGATCTCAGGACCACCTCACATTCCTAAATTATTTTTTTCTAAGAATGATTTAATTTAATTTTTTTAAATTATTATTATTTTTTATTTGACCAGAGATACAGATACAGAGAGAAGGAAAGTGAGAAAGCAAGCCACCAAGTTCAGGACTCAAAATGTGGGAGTCCAGCATCTTCACCACCACACCACCTGCCGGTCCCAACATTCCTAAATTATTGCGGACTCCAAAATGTTTTAGTTTATAAAACAGTTGTAGCTATCAATATTTTCCACATTGGAAATTAAAGTTTTTAAAAACGCAAAAACTGCCACTTAAAACCAAGATGAAATAACAGGACTAGATTTACCCTCTCACTGGAAATTTAAATAAGATAAATTGTATGAAAAACTTTTCAGGACATTAGGCAACTAAGACAGTTACAGAAAAAGTTACATTAGTCTTAATGATTACCAAACAGCTCTCTTAGTTTGGGGGCCATAGTACAAGTAGGGAGAACACAGGTGGGGGGGCTAGAAGTCATCCAGAGTTGAGAAGACAGTTGAGAGTCCAGGGGACCAAAATAGCTGGAGTTTCTAAGACTAGACGCAGAGAGAACTCTAGGACCACACGGAGCATGCCCAACACTCCCCTTGCAGCACTTTGGCTTAGCTCTGGTAGAATACGTAGTAGCTGACTACCCAAGGCCAGGGAAAGTACCACCCAAAAGGCTCAGAGGGACAGTGGCTAGTGTTCAAACGAGTGAGGAGAGTGCCTGCTCCCACCAGTGAGGCTGAAAAACACGACCCTGGGGCTTTGGAGAGAATACACAAAATTCCTAAGTAATAATGGGGAAGACTGAGCACTTCTCTGGTCCTATCAATTCTGAAAAGCAAGAGTGTTACAAATCAAAATTTTAAGTTACTTAACTGCAACTCAGAACAAGAATTTTAAGAGGGATAAATATATATATCCAGTGCCCATTTCGCTATTTAACATCCAATCAGAAGTTACCAGGCATTGAGTCCAGACAGCGTGGTGGTAATATGCAACACTATGAGGTAATCCCACATGGTACCGTTCCTTCCCAGGTCAAATTTGCACACCTCCCTGGGTACTCAAAACACACACTCACCTATGATCCAGGGCCGGCTGAAGGCTGAGAGTGAATCATGATGTCAAGATTCTTTTGGGGGGGCACTCTCTTACTCACGGAAGAAACAAAAAACACTAAACCAATGAAGAACTAGCACAGGGGTGAAATTAAGTAAGGATATTAGATCAGCTATTTTAACTATTGATACTACATATTGGGGTTGTTGGAGAAGTCATGATGCATTTTTGCATAGAAAAGCAAAGAAAAATGTCATGACTTTTCCAATGACCCAATATTTTCAGAAAGTTAGATATGGGAGACACAAAAAGGTCCACGTCAAACACTGTAGGTGAAAACTATAATAAAGTATGAGATGAAAATACAATGGTTATCATACCAGGCATTGCAGAAAATAACATTAGGGAACTTACGGAACTGTCACAAAAGTCATGATGCATTTTTGCATAGAAAAATATGTCATGACTTTTCCGATGTCCCAATAAAAGATAAACTATTCAAAAAAAAGTTCTGAAGATGAGTTAAGGGGCTGCCTGCCTTTTCATGGTGCAGAGATTATGTACT